CACTTTATTTGTCAATGTATAGCATTTCCTTTGTATCATATTTGCTCTCATATTTACATCTATAGACACTAAAACATAAAAGTTTCAAAATATTTTTGAAATAGAATTCTTCAACATTAAAAGTCATATCTGTTTTTATGAAATAAAAGTTCTGATAGTAAGAGATAAAACCACCTGGTCGAGCACTGGTTTAGTTGCCTGAAAAACATAGTGGTTTGATACCCTATATACAACTCCGTGGTAAATTGTATCCTGATCTGTGTAATTAAAAAGTTTTAGCTTATTGTGAGTTTGAAAGGGTCAGCTTTGTAACAAAAATAAGGTTCCCAGCAAACTTTTTGTTCTGAAAGAGTTTTTATGTGATTTTGTGAAAAACTGGTTGAGCACTGGTACGGTGACTCTATCGTTGTTTCAGTCTGGAATCCCTGTAATAAAAGTTTTTATGGAGGTATCGTTTAAATTATCTTAAGATTTTAATTTATAATATCCTACTGTATGCGGATTCTATTAAGGACTCCGAAAACAAAAATGTTCGGCCTTTCTACAGAGCCACGGAATGACGAACACAATGTAAAAAAAATATGATATGAATAATTTCTTTTGAAATTTCTCTTTCTGCAGATTGAATCATTGAGTTATCAAAATAATCAATGTTATAATGCAAATTAACCCAAATAATGATAATAAAATATCAAATTCATTTACAATCATCTTTCCCGCAGAATCAAAATCAATGAAAACTGAACATTTATTTCATTATTTTACATTTATATGCAAAATTAAGTCTTGTCTGCAACTTGACATCTGTAGCACAATGGAAGGGAGTTGACAATATGTAATTCTTTTTTTTATATTTAACCTTATAGTTTTAAGTTATTATATCATTTCTAAGTTAGTAACATTCTTTCATCTTATATCAATTTTATTCAAAACCATTGCCCACATCTATCGTCCCAAACCATAGTCAACTTATATTTATTTGACCTAAAAATATATCAATATATGAGTCGTGTCATGACAAAACCAACATAATGGGTTTGCGACCAGCATGGATCCAGACCAGCCTGCGCATCCACGCAGTCTGATCAGGATCCATGCTGTTCGCTATCAGTTTCTCTACTTGTAATAGGGTTTGTAAGCGAACAGCATGGATCCTGATCAGACTGCGCGGATGCGCAGGCTGCTTTGGATCCAGGCTGGTCGCAAACCCATTATGTTGGTTTTGTCGTAACGCGGCTCATATAAAGTTATTTCTACCGTCTTATTTTATTGACTCTAGAAATAAATTGCAACCTACTGTAAACAATGATATATATAGTCTCATCTATAATACATATTGAAGTACGTTATTATGATGTTAACGTCATTAACATTTGGAGTGCGCCGCTGTTTATGTAGAATTCAATATTGTTGTCATATAAGAAGCTACTAACATGAGTTTTTCTGTGTTTATTTGTTATTTATTTTCTAAGCAATGTAAGAATCTCAAATGTATTTTACGCAACAATGAAAGTCCACGAATTTTTGGATAACCCCCGTACATAGTCTCATCTATACATATGAAACATAGATAAATATACAATGAGAACAACGTATACCTATATAAGAGATAATAAGACACGTCATGTCCCGATTCTTTTATTTTCACCGACTTCTGATTATATACCAACATGCTTTTATGTGCGTTAGTCATTTAACAATGTACTGAACTAATTTAAACATTTCGGATGAAAATTGAAACAATTTTTATAGTTGAGAAAAACATTGTTAAAGATAAAAATTATTTTCTTTAACATTGACATAGTGCACATTTGGAAATACTTTAACAGGACTTAAATGATCACGCGATACTACAATTTAGATGTGAATACGATAACCTATTGTTACACAAAAACATTTAAGCTATTTTGTTTGTATTATCGTTATACAGATCATTTTAAATAATATTTTCCTTGATTATATCTCATGTTACGGTATGGTGAAACCAAAGAAAAATAACAAGGAAAAAGACTTCTTAGACCCATCTTCATAACAATAGAGACACCTGGCTATGGAACGCCATAACTGCCTCATGTTGTTACATTTCGTTTTATTTTCCCATGCTTTCTTGTCTAAAATTGTTGTTATCCTGTCTAAGAATATACTTATTATGTGTAATACTATAGTGTTGACTTGCCAACACATTTTTTTTTGTTTTTGTAAACGTTATTTTATTATGTCAAACAGTATTGTTGAATTGTCGAAAGATGGTATTGACATGTCTAAACACGACCTTCAATTTTCTCAGATCGCCATGTCATTTTATCCAAACTTTATGTTAACCTGCCTATACATCGTCTTATTATGTGAAATAATGGTGGTATCTTTAAAATTATGGTTATGAACTGTTAAAATGCTATTTTAGTTTGTCAAACTGTTATGTAATTATGTCCAAATGCAGATTTAACTTGTCTAGTTTCGTCTTATTATGTCAAAGAGTCATATCATCTTGTCGAAACGTGGTGATGACTTGTCTAAAATTACTAAATCTTTTTGTCAAAGTGTCATTTTATTTTGTCACGATTCGGTGTTAATTAGACTACACAACGTCCTTTTATGGCGAAGTATTATTTTTTCCTTTTAAAATGTGGTGTTTACTTGTAAAAACACAGTATCATTATGTAATACAGTGGCGTTGACTTGCCAATTGATTACGTTAACTAGCCTAAATACCGTCTCATTATGTCAGATAATCGTGTTATCCTGTCCAGATGCGAAGTTGTACAAATTTAGTATCACGTGACCAGAGCCCGCGCAGAGTGTGAAAACATAGAGCAGAACAGATAACAGGACAGTTTAGCAAAATCAGACAATTCTTTCTCAAGACAGAACTAAATTTGAACAAAATAACCCAATTGTTAGACACAATAAGTCTGTTTCTCTTTTTTAACAAGTTGACAATATAGCCGTTCTGTTTTACATTATAAGAAAGAGTTTTGACAAGTCATATCCACATTTCGACAAGATACCGCAATTCTTTGACTTTATAAGACTGGGTTTTAACCAATCAAAACCGCTTTTTGACAAAATAGTATACAGTTTATCATAATAAGGCATGATTAAGTCCAGTCAACCCTCCATTTCGGCAAGATAATGCGAATGTTTGATATAATAAGGCAATTCAGTAGTGTACGTTGGCAAATTAACACTTCTGTTTGACACAATAAGACAATGTTAAGACATTCAAACACCGCATTTTGACAAAATAACATAACTGTTTGATAAAATAAAGCTGTGCTTTGACAAGTCAACACCAAAATTCGTGAAGGTTCTCTTCACTACTGTTTCTAATGATCAAACAGTCTTTTGACAAAACAGTTCCATAATTTTACCAAATAGCGCGACTAGTTGACATAATATGACACATTTCAGAAAAGCCAAAACGACATTTTGACATGATAACACTACTGGTTGAAATAATTAAACAATGTTAAGACAAGTCGTCATCACATTTTGAAGAGATAAGACTACTGTTACGCATAATAAGACAAAGTTTAGACAAGTCGACAAAATACTATGGCAACACAACGCAAATATTTGACTTAATCAGACGCTTTCTAGGCAAGAGAAAAAGAAATGTAATAACGTGAGGCAGCTATGGCGTTCCATACCTGGCTATGTTTAGTTTTTTTCTGATACACGGTAGTAAATAACTTTTTTATGAATCATTTAAGCCAGTGTAAAATCAAGACTGTGCAATTTCTCTTACATTCAATACATGTACTTGATGTTACTTTCATAACTAGAGATAAAGACAATGTTTAAGTAGTACAATCTCTGGTAATAGCAAAGAGCTATCTTTGATATAAGTCTCGACCAAAGACCTGACATACTCAAAATAAGCCAAGGTACGCCCCAGTAAAGCATATTTTCCTTGATTATATCTCACGTTAAGTTATAGTGAAACAAAAGAGAATAACAAAGAAAAAACTAAACTTGTTACAAAAGGAAATAAAACCCATCTTTTTTACAAGAGAGACACCTGGCTATGTTTTGTTTTTGTAAAAGCAAATATTTTTGAACTATTTCAAACATTGTACACGTTAGACTACGTGTTATTTCTATTACATTCAATTTATGTACTATTTTCATAACTATAGATAAAGAAAATAGTAGTACAATTAGCTAAAATATCCCCTAAATCCTTAGTTAGTGCACATAGCTATATTTGATATATAAGGTCCCGGGTTCGATCCTGGGTTACACCCTTGGGATTTTTCAGAGACACTTTCAGTGTTTCCCACCTACCTAGAGGTGTACTGGTAAGAAATCCAGGTAATCCTCGCATGTATCAGTGCTATACACAGGGCATGTAAAAGAACTAAGGGGTCTATTCAATAAGAGCTAGGGACTGGTTCCCGGATTCCCTTGTATCTTAAAGCTGTTTCTTAAATGTATACAATGTATACCTGCTTAGAGTGATCGAAAAACGATTTTAAAGCAGTATAATGTAGAAATAGAAAAATAAGTCTCTGGCGATCCTTCGGCCAAAAACCGGCACTCGGCGTACACTCATAATAAGCAAAGGTACGCCCCTGCCTTGTTTTATGAAATTCGCTATTTTAAAGTAGATTATTTTGTTATTTTGACAGTTTATTGTTACATGATAAATAGAAAAACATGCTACTGTCTTTTGATATCAATTTTATCAGGCTCGGCTGACATGGGCAGAGCCTCGCCCTTTCTAGCCCATATCAGCCTTGCCTGATAAAATTGATATCAAAAGACAGTAGCAAGTTATTCTCTATTTAACGACTTCCCCGTTATTAGGCTTTGCCAAATTTCATATTATATTTATTTGCCTAATGTGGGAATTCCCATTTTTTTACGTTATTTCGCACTTTCGTTTTTAATTGATAACGTTTTGTTGGCACATTACTTATTTCTGTTTCATAAAATAATCATTTCGTTTCAGTATTAAATATATTACATAAAGGCTACAAAATTTAAAAGATACTTACCTCAATCTCTTCAAGTTTTAAGAAACTATTATCCTGGACTAACCGCCGCCATATTGGTATTTTCTTCAATTCTACGGCGCATGCGTGATTAATAAGGCGTTACAACACACAAATCAAAGTGCTGAAGGCACTGCAGTTGGGACGTACTTGAAGGATCAAAATTATTTCGGGGGCAGATAATTCAATGAGTGACGGGTGTTGCCGGTTGATAAATATAAAGTGCACAATTCAGTAGTTGATACAATTATTCTATGAAACTCATGTTTAAATATAATATTTAGGTTAAATTTACAGTAGGTCCATCACAAACCGTTATTGGCCCTTTTTGTCAAGATCAACAAGTGAAATAAGAGCTACCAGAGAAACTGCGAGCTCGACTATTTTAACACATCAGTATCAAGAAAACACTCAAATGGTCAATATTTTTGCATCACGTTATATGATTGGGCCATGTCATTAGAACTGATGATGGCTTTTGTTCACTGCATTTCTCATGCTAATCTCTTTCACTGTATGAATTCCTTCAATATTTTAATCCTCTCTCTGAACAAGTATCATGAAACAATATAAACGGAGAAAATTCAAAAACAAAGTAATGTAGAATGTTGGTTATTTGACACAGCACTTCTGCCCACTAGTCTCTACAACTGTATTTAGATTGAGTGAGATATAATTGAAAAGATTTACTCCAGACAACCAATATTTTAAATGTTGATGTATAATAAGGGATGATAATTGTAAAATTAAGCTAGGAAAAGTTATGGTTCTTTGAAAATGCACTTCCTTGCACTTGAATGTCTTCGCTGTGTAAAATTTTAATCAAATTCCATCAACTCTTTTCCAGTACTTCTCTGGACAAGCATAATTAAGTACATGTATTGTAAAGGGAGATAATTAAACAAGTAAGGAATGCAGTTATGGTTCTTTGACACTTTGGAAAAGAGTGTGAAGGACGGATGTCTTCCTTGGTTCACAATGTGGGTTTTTTTTCTTTAATCATCTTAAATCTCAAAAACACCATAAGAAACATATTTTCCTCCCATAAGCAACCTTTTCCCCTAAAAGTACACGTCTGTATGGAATGAACACGGATATTTATCCATAATATAACTTGAGTCCATACAGACAGATGGTTAAGACCGCAACTGTATTCTCTCCCTTTTGGGAGCATAAATTATAATAACATGCTAAATCTCCATATGGTTATATATCAGATACCAATTCTCAGGTTAATTACTTTTCAATAACCAGACAAGCTAAGATACATGTTATAACTTATGAAGTATGCTAGCTCTGAATATATTTACACAACATTGCTAAACATTACACAGTATTTTAATAAATATTGGAATGTGCAGTCATATGTTACACAAGTCCCAGGAGCTTCAATTCATTGAAACTTTTGGGGAAATCAGTCAAAATATCACAATTGATTTCATTTATCACTGCTGGGTAAGTGTGATGGTTTTGTTTGAAGCCAAAACAACTAAATTTAACATTTTCCTTCAACACAATGATCATGACTGGCCCTAGACTATTGACAGGGGATTCAACTGAAGTGCTAACTCAGACTACCCCTCTAAAATAGTTCAACTAGTCCCAAGTGCTCCTGGTGCCTTTACAGTTATGATCACTTCATCTGGAAACTGGAGATTCCCACATACTGTGATGCTAATCTTTATTTGCTTGACAGTGACACATGTCCACCTTAAAAAATGCAATAACAATTATATGAAGTGAAATCATTTGCAAAAAATGCTTATCTTATTTGTCTCTTCTTACATTTATAATGCAAAGCACTATATGTGTGTGTCTGTCAAACAAAATGACTTTCAATTACACTATTTTAATATATTTGAAATACCATTTCTTTTATAATTACTCAAAATAATACTAAATTCCTTTTTGTGATATTTTTTCTGTCACATATGTTCAGACAGTATACAATTTATTTGTTTAGACCGCATACAATTTAAAGGTATAATTATTTATTGGCTACAAATAAATGTAAATAATGGTTAGTTTAATAACCAATATGAATGTTTCAAAGATTATCCCTTCACACTTTAAAAACAGCCTGTCAATTAGGCAGATCTTAGCAATTGAGGCACACTAAGCAGAAAAAAATGGTCCATCAAAGGGTAGGGAACCATTTTTATACATATTTAAAGCATTTTAGGGAGAAACAAACAATCATGCTATTGCATATTTTCATTTGTTTCAATCTTGAATAATCAAAATGTAAACAATGTTCATAAGGATGAGCTGTATTGTAAATTTTGCATACATATTGAGGTCTTGTTCAAGGCAACAAAACTGTATTGTAAATTTTGCAGTTCCTTGTAATGCCCTGTAGGATTGATTTGTACCACCTTAAAACACCATACTATGATATTTCATGTAAGTGATCATTTTCAGCAAAGGAAAAAGACTGTCATAGGCAGTATCTTAATGCCAATTGACAGAAATATTTAAAGTATGTTCTTAACTAACACTATAATAAACTGTGAGCATGCACTGACACTCTTTTATTTTAGGCGGTACTATATATGAACAAGTCTTGGACTATTTCAGTATGTAGATTAGAAATGCAAACTAAACAATTTCAGTTTCAAGCCTTTTCCTAGACATTTTGGGAAAAATTTCCTAGCACATGTTAGGAAATTTTGCATCTTGATTGGGAAAAAAATATTCATTACCATGTACAAAGTTGTTAATCAAACAAATTGTATATCATTCAAAGCATAAAATACATAAAAAAAATGACAATGAAATGTGTTTTTGAACATCATCTGTCTGGTACCATATTGGATTGAAATGGAATGAAGAAAATTGTCAGCTTTGATAACCGGAATTTTGAGTCGAATACGATTTTTTTCTAAACTTGGAAAAAATAAGCATATTTGGCATTATTTGCCACTGGGAATGGGTCTGGTAATTTGGCCTGTGGTGACACTGGTAAAAAGGCATATGTTTTCATAAATAATATTTGGAAAACAGTTTGATTTGTGAAATAAACATCAAATATTATACAAGTACCTGTTGTTTGTGATAATCTTCTTGTCTTTCTTTAATCTTATATATACTTTTTTCTTGCTACAATGTACTTGCCTTTCCAAGTGAATATTGGAGTAAATGATATTTTATTTCCCTGAAAATATCAATTTAGAGATTTAATTCATCTTCAAAATTATCTAATACTACTATCTTAGTGTGTGTATATACAATGTATATATATGTGTACACCATAATAATTATGATTGTGTAAAGCATGTAATGACATAAAATTTGAAAATTTATGATAATAATATTTCTTCATATTACCACTGATGTAAGTTTAGACCACTAATCTTTGTGCAAACTTTCAGATCATTCGCGCACTTCGTTTTTCCAGAATAAATATTCAAATTGTAAACAAATGACCCAAAATGAAAAGCGTTTAAACGCTTTTCACTCATATCCGGCTGAAAGCATAAAAATACGTTCATTTTATTTCAAAGTATATTTTTAACTATCTTTGCATATATTACTGTTTAAAGTGTCCCAGCTCATTTATGTAAAAAGTTTAAATGTTATGTTTTTAGGCTTTTAAACCTCAGTGGAGTTCCTTTAACATGCATGTTAGCAGACGCTATCTATATCAACAGCTTTCTGTTTTCTAGCTGATATAAGTCAGCTGATGTTAACAAGTCATCGTTCTGGTGAAGAATGTGCACTGGGGTTTTATGGGAAATATTAGCATTTTCTGGGGAAAATATACCTATTTTGCTCTAAGTTAAACTGCCGTTATTCGGCTGGAAAAAGGGGGAAACACTAGGTGATGAGGTTAAAATAAAAAATGACAATAATGCTCGTTTTTCATTTGTATAATGTATGAAGAATCAATAAGCAATCAATAAGAGTTTAGTCAGATATAATAGGACAGTACTTCTACCTCTAATGTCTCAATTACACAAGACCTGCAGTATTTGCAGGGGCTAAACTTAACAGCTAAATGGCTCATATTAAGGGTTAAATCATTTTTGTATTTTCTGATCGCAAGATCAGTAAATACATAGCTAACATCCACGGTCTAACACAAATTTTCCTAACAGACCTAACAACGCAAAGTAGTTCTCACTCAGAACTGCTTAAAAACCAGCTATTTAAAATAAAGAATAATTTTTATTGTATGCATTTAACGAATTACAGTGCATTAAAAGTTTAGAGTAGTCAATAGAAATATGAGGTTACAATCACAAATTTCGCGGATGAATATCTTTTTTACCCAATGAAAAATGTTCGGCTATTTCCGTAAAGCTTAATCAATGAAAATGCTATTTTTAGCTATGTCGATTACCGAATACTCCAGAGCGTAGTACACATAAATCTGACTGTCGAGTAGTGAAATATGAGTGTAGGACAAAAGCCCCCCCCCCGGACGAAAGCCCCCCCGTCTAAAAATGACAAGGTGGACAAAAGCCCCCCCCATGAAATTTACACATAGGACAAAGCCCCCCCCCCCCATCAAAAATACAGGTAGGACAAAAGCCCCCCCCCCCATCTTTTTTCACATGCACAGGTGCTCAAATTCATCAAATTTCACACAAACTTTTAAATAAAAATGAAAAGAATTTGTTTTAATGTTTATTTATAATGTATATATTGAAGTGATAACAAAGTATATGATAACAGATGAAATAATGCATGCATGCGATACTGAATTCATAGCTTTTCATATACACAACAAGGGTCAGAAGAGTAGTAATGTTTAATCACTTTCGTAAATTTGTAAAGGGATCAAATTAATATCCTTAGCTTTATGTCACCTACATGTGATGTCCATACATATCTTTTAAACACATAAAAAACACAACTTTAATACACTATATGTAAATTTGATTGACCATTGGGGGGGGGGGGCTTTTGTCCTACCTTTACTTTTTTATGGGGGGGGGCTTTTGTCCTATGTGTAAATTTCATGGGGGGGGGGGGCTTTTGTCCACCTTGTCATTTTTAGATGGGGGGCTTTCGTCCGGGGGGGGGGGCTTTTGTCCGTATCCCGTGGAATATATATACATGTCGTACTGTTTTGGCGAGAAGATTTTCGCTAAATTATTTTCATCAGTGTTAAACAACAGGTTTATAGTGAAGAAAATACCTCGAAATTAGTAAGGATTACAAACACGGAATGGAAATTCTCAATTTAGAATTACAATGTATTTGTTATTAGTGACCGAGTGTTAAAGGTAGTTTACTTAATTGGCTTCTTTCATGTGAGGAAGCATAATTTAATCTAATCCAACTACCTAACGGAACGCCAATGGTTCTATTGGAGTGCCGTTCGTGCAATAAATTATACTTGGAGGGGCACCTTTATAATCTCCTCTTCTAAACAGTAAAGCTGACTATTACAGTGTTAATTGATGACCCACCCCCTTACCGTTCACTTCAATAAATACTTTAATGTTGTGTGTATCATGGCACGGATTTATATAAATCCGTGATCATGGTTACGATGTTCTTCAAAATTTAAATAACCAAAATATGAATTGCCGTATTGTCATTCTGATATATTCATTGCCATACTTATATTACCATTGCCATTCTAATATCACCATTGTCATTCTGATGTCTTCATTGTCACTCTCATATCTTCATTATTATTCTGATATCTTCATTGTCATTCTGATATATCAAATGTCATTCTGATATCTTCATTGCCATTATAATATCACCATTGTCATTCTGATATCTTCATTGTTATTCTGATATCATTATTATCATTATAATATCTTCATTGTTATTCTGATATCTTCAATGTCATTCTGATATCTTCATTGCCATTCTAATATCACCATTGTCATTCTGATATCTTCATTGTCATTCATCTTCATTCTCATTCTGATATCATTGTTATCATTCTGATATCTTATTGGCATTCTGATATATTTATTGCTATTCTGATTTATTTACTGTCATTCTGGTATTTTCATTATTACTCGGGTATCTTCATTATCAGTATAATAATGAATTATTAGTATTTGTATAAACATAAAAAATGTATAATCAATATGATACATATATAGTTATCATGCTGATACTTTCTTTAGCATTCTGATATTTTCCTTTTTATTCTGATAATTTTCTATCTTACATATCATTCTGATAATTTCATTGTCATTCTGATAACTTCATTGTCATTCTGATATCTTCATTTGTCATTCTGATATCTTCATTATCATTTTGATATCTTTATTATCGTTTTGATTTCTTCAATGTTTTTTTTCTGAAATTTTCCTTATCATTCTGATATCTTTACTTTCAAACTGATATCTTTATTGTCTCTCTGATTTCTTCATTGTCACTCTAATGTATTCATAGTCATTCTGATATCTTTATTATTATTCTGATATCTTCATTGTCATTCTGATATTTTCATTTTTACTCTGGTATCCCCATTATCATTATAATACATTAATATCGTTAAAATTCTGAAATCATTATCATCATACATTTTTAATTACACAAAATTCATTCAGCAGATCCTTCAAAAACTTTATGACTTTAAAAATAAGTATCGTACCTGCCATTACCCGTTTTAGCAGCAATACTTGTAATTAACACGAACAATTAACAACTTGAAATTAAGAATAAGAAAATAATTATTTACGAGATACATCTGCAAAAGTATGCTATAATTTGCAGAACCATACGGGGTTTAATGATTCGTGGTCGGTTTCAGAAAATCTAAAGAAATACTATATATGCTCATCTTTTGGCAAAATACTTAAATACTTTTCTTGCCAAGGTTTATGAACTATCGGAAATTCTTACTGTACATGTCTGATTTGAACAAGAGAATGCTCAGATTGTGTGTTCGGAAGCTGCATGCACTTCCTATAACATTGTTAAGTTGATCTAAGCCTTTCTTTAAAAAAGCGCAATTTTTAATGACACTACGTTTTTAAACTATGTATTACTATTGTAATCCTTAGATCTTTATTTACATTTAAAAAAAGAGACTATACAGCAATTATCAGTTTATTGATCCAAATCACAGAGAAGAAATTCTAATTTCCTTTTCGGCACAGAGGTGTTTCTGAGGTATGAGTGAACATCATGCGAACAAAATTGTTTCCACTGAACTACAATATCGAGATCAGGACAAGAAAAGTATGAAAAATCCCTAGTTGTGTATTCTTACAATCTCGGGTTCGTCTGGAGCCTTCAATCATACGTTTTCCAATTATCAACCATGTCATTGATTTTAGTTATATACACTGTAACATATAGCGGATATATAACTAATTAGACGCCGCGTTCACGGGATATATAGGGATAACTTCTCCATCGTATGTATGTCCGTCCGACTGTCCGTCACAAAATCAGTCAGATTGACAAACGCAATCTGAGTGAAACTTTAAGGGATTGATCGATACTCCAAGTACTTGTCCACGGGTATTTCAGTTAAATATGATTTTTGGCTAATTTATTGCCCCTGAAAAAAAGTGTTTTTACCTGTAAATGATTGTATGTCTCTTGCTACACTATTGATACAACATGCTACAACAAAGCGGCGATATATAAGGAACAAAGTGGCCAATCACCCTCAAAACAACTGCCTAATTGGCTATCATCATTGTGTTTATGTTTTATTAACTATTTAGCACACTGACCTCGATCAAGTACAAACTCAGGAACAAACATCAAACTTTATAGGTTCCCTGTGGCAGAATACAACATTTAAGAACATGAAAGGCAACGTGTCCGGAATCCGTTCTCTCAGTGCTTGAATAGCTGACGAACCTCAATAAGCATTCATGTATCAGGGAATTATAATTGAGCGAGTCTGTGGTCACATGGCTAAGGCAAGTTTAGAGCCGCTCAGCCACAAACAATACATAACGTAAGAAACCAATGTCGCCTCCAGAGCAGTTTATCTGCTTTATCTACTTGTTACATTCTTTGCCATTTGTGTTGTGTATACATTTTGTCCCTTAAATAAATCTGATGTGACTTATGATGTAAGTTTAACCATTCAAACGCTAGCGCTTAGTATTTTTTTGTAAATATGCCTTTTTTGTTTTAAACAATAACAACATTTTTTTTTATAGAAAATGATGGTTATTTAACGGCAATTTACACAAAAAGAGTGAGTCATAAGCCGCAGCCGGACTACCCCGACTCCGACCATTATAACGGTTATCTAGTTCTATATTCTGGTTCCCGGCATCTAACAAGTTGCGTAGCGAAAGGGGAAGGAACTCCAGACTACTAGTTCTACAGCAGTGTTCGATTGACAGTGGCTCGCGTTTTAGGTCTATAAATAGTTCATTCGATCAGCAAGACAGTGCTACATATCATTACAGGAACAGCAGTAATAGCCCAGACTAGCGGGGTTTTTTCAACAGTGACCCGTTGTTTAAATGTTAAACATGTTAAATGACTACTTGGCATGGAAAATAATATATTAATGGCATTTTTATTTCTAACAATAATTAATAAGAATCCTGATAAAATTAATATGTATTCACGAATTGGTTGCATTTTGCTGTACATATGAAGAAGTTAGTCTGAAATTAGATAAATTACTTTTTTCACCCAGGTGTGATAGCAAAGATTCGACAAAGAGTACAGCATATTCCAAATAAGGATTGACATTTTATACAAGTGATCAAAAAGGGGTCATATGTCAATGTGTTTTAATTTTCATTGATTTTTATTGGCTGATATCAACGGACGTATCCCAAGAGGTCATGACTCCCTGCAACACATCCCCTCTGTATCTGAGCATAATTTAATTTTATTTTTTTTGACAAATATCCTGAGAAAAGTGGCAATAAATTTGAATATAAATATATTAACAGAAAAGAAAAAAAAATATATACAATATATTAAATTATCTTTCGTGTTTTATTTCTATTCCAATCATGGGTAAACAGCATTAAATTCAATATCCACTAGCACGTGCACCTTGACCGACAGATATGTAGGTACCTTCATATGTCTTTAAGAGGAAGATAATAATTTTAGTCAAAGTCAGGATATTTCATTCCAATTTGTTTCCGGACTTCGTCCATTATCTGATGTACTATTTCAATCTCAGCATGGGTGTAGTTATCACTTTCCATTACACCTGCAATAGACGTGTTGACTGATGACGTCACAAGTACTTGCTACCAGAATGCAGCAGATATACTGATTAGCCAAAAACAACACCAATATTTACATACACAAAGGAGATATGTTGGCTCTTTAAACAAATTTCAAGAGCGCCAATTTCAATATCTGATTCGAAAACATAAAATGACATACTAGTATACTTACATATTATACAGTCTACATGCCAGACTAAGACGACTTATTAAAAGTCTATTCATTCTAATCATTCGCAACAACGGTAGTTTACATACGTTTATATATTGTATTATCGATTGACTTATCCGAAGCAAACAATATTAATTTTCCATTCCTTGAAAATGTCCAATGATACTAATTTTCCATTCTTTAAAATTGTCTAATGATGTGAATTTGTTGTAATGACATTACGATAATTGTGTTAATACTTAACTAAGTTTTCATTCTCCCCCTTTTTCAGGGTAAACAAACCCAGACATTCGCACACCTGCGCGCAATTTGAAAACTAACACTACAATTTGTATCAGATTGTTTCATAATGCATTTTAAAAATATGGAATGGATATACAATCAAAGCCTTCTTTACTTTTTCATTTTAGGACTGAGGTTTTGAGACCGAGCATCAATTTTTCATTTCACCAAATACACTGAATGTTCAAATAAAATCCGTTACAAACAAACTCACGTATGCAATGTTGATACCATTTCGGGCACACTAAGGGCTAAGAAAAACATAAAGTTTTCGATTTTTCATTTTCCCAAAACACAGGCAAGATTCAAATATGTATCAGTTCGTATGCAATAATAACTCATATTGTGAACTTTCTCGGATATATATTTATTGTTTTGATATAATTCTTACTTTTTCGGAGACACTAAAAGTTTCAAATTATCTTACCGGATACGAAATGGTATTAACCCTAACATATTCAGCTGCATTAATGGTTCAAATTTTGCTTTTTGATGATACTTTAAATGATTAAATTATTACCTTTTCGAATACATTCCCTAACTGCAGCAGCCTCGTATTGAAGTCCTGCACTATTTGTATGAAAATAATCTGCGTCTTTCAAGGGAAAAGCGGAAGTGCCTGATACGCTTGTCATGGTCGTCGGGCAATGCATCGGAGCTTGAACCTTAAAATGAAATTATCCTGATCTTACCTCTATATAGACAAAATTATCGAATCTTAATAATTTAAATAAATATAATTTGAGATTTAATTTTTATATACTTATTAATGGAGTTTAAACTGATAAATACATTTTACTTATGGAACTTTCAAATATCAATAAACATAGATAGAGCTTTAATAACCTATAAATTACCAAAGGGGAACGGCACATAGCTACTTGGATGGATTTATTTTCATAAAGCCATTGTTTGTTCTTTTTTTCTATAAATCTTTTTAAATGAGAATATATGTATGAAAACAAAATCTTCCCCAAAAATATAAAGTATAGACAAGGGGAAGAACTCAAGAGGAAGCGCTGTTAATGCCCTTACTGTGGCACCGATTTTGAATTTTATTTGCTTGCTTCTTTTGCAAAATATGGGAAATGGCATACATAAACAAAGATTTAACCGAACATTATTATATGGAAATCGGAAATTTTACGATTTATTAACGCAGAAGTATAAGCTCTATGAACTCAGACCCAAAGTCGTAAACCATAAGCATGCACAATTTCAGGGCTAAAACTCTTAAAATTATCGGGGTAAGATCACCAAACAGGACTTCATTCAAAAACAAATATTAGTTTATACAGTAAATGTAAACACTGTCAATCTAAGAAAAGCTCTTACGGAGTTAAATTCGCGTGAATTTCTACAAATTCACATCTATCTACCGATTTCTACTCCATGCCGGCACTAAGATAAAACCTTTCGATTGGATGATGGATAATTGACGACACAGAAACCATCATGGCTGGCAGGTCATAAACATCTGAATTTGTAGAAATTTACTCAGGAATAGCATTTTTCAGTTTAAAATTGTTTGCATTCTCGCTGTATAAACTAATAACTGTCAGCAATCAACCCTCAATAATATAGATATGGTCAGATTACAGGGACATTCTTGCCTAGCCTTTTTCCTAGAAACTTAGCCAAGTTCCTATCATGTATATATTTTCAGACTGTTAAATATTAGTTAATTAGTTTAATGGGAATTCAGTTAATATGTTCATATGCAATTGTCGTTGTGAAATAATATTCCGTAAATTTCTCTCTTACCTCAATGCGTCCTGTTTTTCCAAGGATAGAAGCATTATTATCTCCCTTTCCAGCGTCTGTATGATACGTCAAATTGGCCATTGCTCCATTTTTATATTTCAGTATTATACATGCCGACTCATCAACATCTGAAATATTGAACAAAATTAATATGATTCTACTTCGTCACGTCGCTTGCATATTATGATGATCATACACTCGAGCCACATACTCGCTTATTATAATGCTGTTAAATTATAACTCGTTCGATTTAATCCAATATCAAACGTACAATCAAACAATATCACTTATTATCACTAAGGCCCCAAAGATTACACGTTTAAACGGATTCGTTTCGATATTTATTCATAAACGTTTACGATATTTTTTACCGTTTCATCGAAATGACCATATTGTCTTACAAAATATCTTAATTGCCCAAAATCATGGATTTTATCAATTCTTGTGGTTAATTCCAAAGTCAGAAACGGAAAATGGGTGTTAACAACCCTCCACACATCATTACCGTGCAAAATTGCTCGTGACATAATACATTTTTGGTAAAAAATGGGGATACAATGCAGAAAATGTGCTGACTCAACGCAGAAAATGTGTGCTGAATCAATCGTGATCAGCCCTGCACATTTTTATTTGTACAAGTATTAAACATAGATAGCAGGACATCATTTGGCGACTCAAATACATGGTGGGCATAGTACATAGAGGTGCCACCGTTTAAACGGTATCGTTTCGGTTCTAAGCAATCGTGTAAACGTTTACAAAGAATTGTAAACGTGGGAGCCTTATAACACACAGTCGTGCCAATTTTCTTGAATCCGTAAACACGGTATGGCACGGCTTTTGGCGTGGTATTTTGACGGAGGATAATTTGGAGCACCACACTAATTACCGTATTCCGGTATATACCTGACAAGGCGCTTAATGATTTCACGATTTCGGCAAGCGTCTATCCAATCCTGTAATGAATAATATCCATTTTAACGTCGTAATTCCAATATAGCGGAAGCACATGTTTAAAATTATACATGTAGTATAAGTGCGTCAATGAAAAATTCTTTTTTTATTACTCGTCCGTTAATTGTAAACAATGTCGATGCCATTTCGGGAAACGACGAACGAAGAAAATAAAGAGAGAATCTAGAGCAACTGTTTCAAATTTCAAAATTTGTAAGCATTTTAACTTTCCATATACTAGTATCTACATTGAACTCATTTGCTCTGTCTAGCAGAAGTAGAGAACATCGTTTTTTTTCTTTATTTAGAATAAATATTATATATGTAATATATATTGTATTGCTGCAAGTATTCTGATCAGGCCCGTTGTGTGTTTTGTGATGTTCTAATTAGGAAGTAGACTCAGTGAGAACACACTTTTACGCAACCAACGAGACGTGTGCAATCCTTCATAATAACACACTCCAGTATTTTTTCTTTTATTTGATACATCTGTAAGATACGCTGAACAAAATCGAAGGGTTTTTCTTAAACAAAAGTACGGAGCCCCTAAAGTGACATTTTCCACACTTTTTTCCCCGGAATTTAATTCGTTTTTACGAAATAATAATTCGTAATTACGAAATAATAATTCGTTTTTACGAAATATTAATTCGTTTTTACGAAATATTAATTCGTTTTTACGAAATATTATTTCGTTTTTACGAAATATTAATTCGTAATTACGAAATATTATTTCGTATTTACGAAATATTAATTCGTAATTACGAAATATTAATTCGTTTTTACGAAATATTATTTCGTAATTACGAAATATTATTTCGTAATTACGAAATATTAATTCGTAAAAACGAAATGTTATTTCGTAATTACGAAATAATAATTCGTAAATACGAAATAATATTTCGTAAAAACGAATTAAATTTTTTCTAGCGTTTCAAAGAGTTTTGGTAATAGTTATAAATAAGGCCTCAAAACTAAGTTCCTGACTTAATATAAGGCATGTACATGCAATATAAATAGTGATTTTTGTTCTCCCCAAGTTTTTTAACTTTACACTATTGTACATAAATTAAAATAATCGCATGTTAATAGCGTTGAGCCACAGCCGTGATGGTACACGCGCTAGGAAAATTTACTTAAAATGGGGGTCCTGTGCTTCAAATCGTAACACGGACATTTCTGTATAATAAATTGTGAGGAAATATTTATTTTAAATTGATTAGATTAGTGAAAGTCTGGACCCCCCCCCCCTCGTCCCATTAGTTTTACTAATGTATATGATAAAAGAACGGAATAATATAACATGTTTCTGTTTCAAAGATACATGTCGTAAAAGATTGTCTCAAACATTAAAACATTGCTGATAGGAACATGTATTTGACAATGGGGAAAAAAGACCACTTTGGATAGAGAATGACTTCTCACTCAAAAACCCTGTTCACATAAATATAATAACTTGAGAACCATTCGGCTTATAATCACAAAGTTGATCAAGGCATGTAAATGACCCATTTGTGAGATTAATAGGTTCTTTATCAAGCTCAAAATGACCTTAAATAAGATTTCGTAAAAACGAATTAATATTTCGTAATTACGAAATAACATTTCGTTTTTACGAATTAATATTTCGTAATAACGAAATAATATTTCGTAATTACGAAATAACATTTCGTTTTTACGAATTAATATTTCGTAAATACGAATTAATATTTCGTAAAAACGAATTGATATTTCGTAATTACGAAATAACATTTCGTTTTTACGAATTAATATTTCGTAATTACGAAATAATATTTCGTAAAAACGAATTAATATTTCGTAAAAACGAATTGATATTTCGTATTTACGAATTAATATTTCGTAAAAACGAATTAAATGCCGGGGGAAAAGTGTCGAGAATGTCACCTTAGGGGCTCCGTACAAAAGACATAGTTATGAACACCAATAAACTTTCATGACGTCAGGACTCGGGCAAATCAAGGCGTGCAATAATGAACATCAATCCGTATGGATGTATTTATTGGGTAGAAAATGGTCGTATTTTCACCAAAAATTCAAAGTATTAATCATGACAACAAAAATGAAACATTAATTTTATTGAAATGTTCTTTACCTCCTCTCAAATTCCCGACTGCTGTAATACTTTGCGGCATTTCTTTGAAGACAAATACCGCAAACTGGATGACGTAAATGCCAATATCTAGTGCTCCTCCTCCCCCAACTTTTATGTCGCGTATTCGAGGAATATCTATTATAGGGACACAGAAGTTTGCCTGCACCAATCTTGGATCACCAATGGAGCCAGCAACCAGCTCCTCACGTATCTTTTCGTATACCGGAAACCAGCGGCTCCAAACTCCCTGTTTGTGTGATAGAGTACATTTCTTAATATATATCAAACGCGCTAATAATGTTTTGTTTATTCTTATATCTTTAGATATATATAAAACAGTTGGACATTTACTCAATATATAGGCATAAATTTAGTTATCAACTCATAGCATTAAATTACTTTGTGTTTACATGTTTTTTCTTAGCATCAGACGGTTGACTAACAACCGTGTCTTGTCTGTGTATTCTTACGATTGTGTTCGAGGTTCTTTTTCGAAATGTATCCGAAAGGGCCGAGAAGATGCGATTGTAAAGCCTCAGAGTCTTATCGTACCTTCACATGTAACAATAATAAGGTAACAGTGCGATACGTTATCATGATTCGATTTTAAGACGAAATGAAAATTAAAAGACGCGATAACAAGTATCGAGGACGCGAAGTCACGATTCAAATATGGAAGGCACAAAAAGGTGATTTGAAGACGCGAAAAACATGACTCGAAGACGTAAAACTACGATTCGAAGGCGCGATAACATGATTCGAAGACGCAGTAACATGATTTGAAGACACAAAAAGCATGACTCGAAGGCGCGAAAATAGAATTCAAACGCGAAAATAAGACTCAAAAAAAAGCATCATCACGGTGCAAGATTGTTATCACACTTTTGCTTCGCATTTTCACTATTTCATATCGTCTCATTGCCCACATAATTCGAAAACTTGGTCAAAAAATGCAAAACCTTATAGAATTGTCCTTGCGGGATAAGGTACCTACTTCCACAAAAAGCACGTTGTTCTTTTTTGCTACATCCAGAACTTGTTTCACCTGCTTGTAATTCATTCCCATTGGCTTCTCACAGATCACGTGTTTCCCGGCTGACAACATTTTGATTGACAGCTCCGCGTGACTCGTGTGAACAGTACCGATGTAAACAACCTCTAAATATGAAAAATATAATCAACAGAAAAGAATCCTTGTACTTATTTTTTATCAGAAAATAAGAAGAAATTCTTAATATTTGGCATCAGGAATGTCTCTTCATAATCTATTTCTCAAATATGACATAAGTTTATCACGTGATGACAAATAAAAGTTAATTATATAGCCAAAATGAGACACCAGTTAATCATATGGCGACAAAAGTGACAACAGTTATTACATGTACTTATCATTTGGCGACAAATGCGACACCGGCTAATCATATGGCGACAAATATTACAAAAATTATTAATCATATGGCGACAAATGCGACACCATTTATAATATGCCGATAAATGTGACAACAGTCAATCATATGGCGACAAATTGTTATAACAGTTAATCATATGGCGACAAATGTTATAACAGTTAATCATATGGCAACAAATGTTATAACAGTTAATCATATGGCGACAAATGTTATAACAGTTAATCATATGGCGACAAATGTTATAACAGTTACTCATATGGCGACAAATGCGACAACAGTCAATCATATGGCGACAAATGTTATTACAGTTAATCATATGCGACAACTATGACTAGTGTCAAGTTAATCATATGACGACACATATGAAACCTGTTGATCATATGATTTCAAATGTGACACAAGGTAATCATATGAAGACAAATCAACACGTGTTTTGCATCAAATATGGCATCAGGCTTTATCTGAACAGTTATGTGACACCACTTAAAGAAATTAAGTTAATCAAGTCAAGTGTGACACCAATTAATCTTATACCGATAAAAGGAAGCTATTCTAAATAATGAGTCGGCAAATGTGCAAATGTTACACATGTTGATAAAATGAAATAAGATGTAACACCAGTTAATTATATCAGATCAAACAATGCAACAAATAATAATATGACTTCAAATACTTAGATCACTAATTAATCACTTGACGTCAAACTATGACGTCAGATTAAACTCTGCTATTATGTAAGTTCGTTCAATTTCATGATTTCATATTGACAAAAATATATGTTTTCAATGAAACAAGACATTGTTGCTTCCCACGTAACTACATGTAAGTCACGTGCTTTTTGTATTTCACAAAGTAGGCTATCGCCCTCGTAATGTTATCTCCGCTTTTTATTCCAAACCGTTGTCTTTCCTTTTGGTTATTACTTTAGATCATTCCCTCACTCTTTTTTTCCCAGAAAAAAACAAATTATTGTAATCATAACAAATGTTCCAAAATTGAAAAGCTTTGCAATGTTTTTCATTCAAATTGGGCTTAGAAAAGCACAGAAGTACAATGTTTTAAAAACTTTATTTCAGAGTACTAGTATATTTCTTAATTATCTATTGCATATCTTTTTGTCTTTAATGCCAGACTTGATCTATGTAAAATAGCGATATGTTATGTTATAATGCGTTTAGACCATTGTAGGGGTCCTATGACGTTCTTGGGTAGTGTTAAAGATTCAACTACATACCAACGTCTTTGTCAGAGGCAAGTTCATCGTAAGAGCCATATGATTTCTTGAAACTGAACTTTTCTGCAAACGCCTGAGCCCTGGTAAGGTCCCTCGAGCCAACCGCAACAAACTATAATATTGTGATAGGGGTGGACATTATAATATGATTTCAATAAGGATTCACAATAATAGGTATTTATTTACTTTTAAGTTATTTCTTTTTTTTTCCTTACCGTTGCCAAATTCATGTATGTTTATATAAATCAACACCACTCCGATCAATTGTATTTGTCACATTAAGTGAATGTGTAACCGACACAGGGATAAAGAATACATGGCTGATGTCTGAATGGAGAAGGTTTATCAGAAAGTGTATCTTGGCGATCTTCAGCGAGCCGAATTCCCTTTCGCATCGAACCGAATAAACCTTCTCCATCCTGACAACAACCACGTTATCGCATGCCCCATTGTATTTAGTACATCTTCAATGAGGATTTGAAAAATATATAACAGTGCTATTTTTTCATTGATTCATATACTAGGGAAAAAAAATCCTTTTACACCTGATATATATATGAGTAAAGTTTTTTTTTATATCAATACTATAGACAGTAGCAGGATAAAAATATTTCCTATCTAAATTTGAATTCATAATGTAAAACAATTTTAAATGTATAGATACAAAATGGGAATCTATTTGCAACCTTAATATAAGTGAATAATCATAGGTACATGTATCTTAGAGTTACCGGAAGCTATGCTGTTATCATTTGGTGTTTAGGAACAGTCATAAGGTAGATTAAGATGCTAAGCAAGACATGTTTTGAAGCTATATTACACCTAAAAGTCCACTATTTAAAGGGATTCCACTGAGGTTTTTTGCCAGATAAATGCACCATTTGATGTAGGTTTAGACCACTAATCTTTGTGCAAAATATTAGATCTTTCGCGCATTTCGTTTTCCCAGAATAATTATTCGAATCGTACAAATGACCCAAAATGAAAAGCTTATGAAAACTTTTCACTCAAATTAGGCTAAGAAAAGCATAAAAGTACGATTTTCAATTTATTTCAAAGTATATTTCTTAACTATCTTTGCATATATTTCAGTTTAAAGTGCCTCTGCTCATTTATGTAAAAAAACAAAGGTTACGTTTGTAGGCTTTTAATACACCATTACAGCCCTAAAAAGAATGTCTTTAAAACTTTTTTATAACTCGAAAGGCATGGATTGAATCTAAAAGCGGAAGTATATATGATATAGGAATATACGAGTATAACATTAAACAAATATGTTGAGAACATCGATGACAAGCCCAGCCTCACCACCATTTAAGATGTTTATTAAATATGGTATTACAATCTGTCAGTTATGTAAACTTATATTATAATAATCAGAATACAGTAAACTCCGCTTATAACGAACTCATTGGGACATTCAAAATCTGTTCCTTATATCCGGAGTTCCTTGTAAGCATATAGCGAATTAGTTCTTGTATCAGAAGTTTTTATAGCGAACAGATTTACATATTACGAACTACTAGTAATTGTTTACCATCGTCCTCCATTTAGAAGAGCATTTGATTAAGAGAAATAACTCTTGGGTTTGTCATTGTTGTCTCCCTTATATTGATTCAATTAAGAAAAATAAGGAATAATTGCAATATTGTTTCTTTTTAGTTTAATTTTTATGTATAAATATATCTATAAGATAATTATATGATATGTACCATATCAGCAATATTGTTATTTATTAACGATACAGTATCATGCACAAAAATAATCTTTTTGCCTCGAAAAAGTCGCTAATTTTAGTTTGGGAATGTTGGTTAAATTCAATGTTCAGTAAACTTTTTAAAACTGTTTCTTCAACATGTGCATTAGACTCGAAGTATGACCTAATCTTGTGCAAGCAATCAATAGCTTCATTTTTTGACACAACCGGCAGATCATCTAAATAGATATCTTCTTCGGAAGATTGACTATCATCGTCATGATTTGTCCCTAATATATCCGCTACACTCGGCCAAGTTTTATTCTGTGCCGATGAAAACGAAAGTAGAAAATGCGTGATCTGTTTACGGAAAGCTGATATTTTGGAGTTCGTTATAAAAGTGTATTTTTCTGCACTTTTGATGGCATTGGGACTAAAAAATGAGTTCCTTATAAGCGATAATTCCTTATAACCGTGTTCGCTGTAACCGTAATTTTTTACAATAAATAAAGAAGGGCAAAATTCGGGCCAAAATATTTTGTTCCTTATAACCGGAAATTCGCTATAACCGTGTTCGCTATATGTGAAGTTTACTGTATATAATTATCCAGTTCGATAATATAATCGATAAAAGATCAGCTGAATATCGGTGACGATTTCAAGTTTTGTTTCGCGTAAAAGTTTATTTTTCTCTTGCTTGGCATACTTTCGCTATTTAGATATTTAGCAGTAGCAGACGAAATATTTAACGTGTGATCGTAACAATATCCACAGCTGTATATATCATACTTTATAGTACGTGTAATTCCTTGTCTGCAGATTATCATACAAAACTCCATTAACTTAAAGCAGCATGCCTCTAGATGAGCCGAAATATTTCAAGAAAATCAACTTCGAGGAAAATTTACGAAAAGAAAAACATATTCACAATCACCCCGAAAATAACTAACATGTTAGATGCAATAAAAGACTGATTTTGCAGTTTTTATCACAACATTTCTACAACCTGACTAACGCAGAAGGGCTATTTATGCATAGTCTGACATTTTTTAGTTTTACTCGTAGATTTCAAATGTCGAGTTTTGAAGGTGTAAATTACTAACTTTGTTAACTGGACAATAAGTTATGTTAACTTGTAATACAATTCAGCTATTCTGTACAATTTTATGGTTTTAAATTGTCACAACATGACGTATATATATAGAATGTGATTTACAAGAACGCAGAATTACCTCATGATCCTCCTTTGGTAAATTATCTTGTATAGCGAGGAAGAAATCCCATGATATCTTTCCTGGTCCAACACAGCCCCATTTTGTTGCCATTCTGTTGAAAGAGCGAAAAGCAACAAAAGACAATAAGAGATTATTATCACAAGCAATCAGTCACTATCCGTAATAAATTGAATATGTACAAGTATATATATGTTGTAAAAGCTGCGTTGGTGTAGCTGTTTCCCAACTGTATTTAAAATAATGAGTGTGACCCCTAAAAATAGTGTGTGTGTGTGTGGGGGGGGGGGGTGGTGCACTAAATACCGTATTCCGGTATATACCGGACAATGCGCTTGAATGATAAGATACTAAAATCTTGCCTTTTCAACCAACGGAATAAACTTTAAAACGTCTAATTAATCTCTTCAAATCGATTTATATTCGACAAATGAATGAAAAAATGTAAGAATCGGTTAAAATGGCAATATTTTGCTACCTCTTGATCGTGGTTTCTGCAAGTGTCTATATGGACTGCTCCAACACTGTACCGAGTTAAATCCTTAAGGGCACATTATGCCTCAAAAATTTATAATTTTTTCAATCTTTTCAAAATGACAAGCATAAGTTTCATAACTTTGAAACAACTATTTTAGAGCATGGAAGTTTTTTTAATAGCTTCGCTATAAAAGTAGCAAAATTTAAACAAAGTAGTATTTTAACTTCCATACAAAATACTAAATCATTGAAATAGTACTAATTGCAACAAAATTTAACAGAGCCAAAGATTGTTAAAGGGTTTGGCCAAGGGTTTAAAATTTTTGGAAATATAACAAACCCCAAAAATAAAAAAAAAAATTTTTTGCAACAAAAGAAAATTTAAAGTTTTTTTTGGTGCATAAGCTTTAAATAAAAGCCTCACAATAAAGATGAATTAATTGGTAACATTTTAGTGTAATTTCCTTTTCGAATATTTTTTTATTAACGGGAATAAGCGATTTTTTATTCTTTATAGTAAATTCAGCTATTAAGGCCCAAAAGATTTTTAAAAACCGTTACGATCTTGCAGTTACAAAATGTTTTAAATTACAAATAACTTGATGTACTATTATTTTTAAAATGTTAAAAAAAAATATAATAGTAAAACTAACACTTTTAAACCCAGTTTTAAAAAGGTAAAATCCGAGGGTTTTTAAAAAGTTGGAGATAAAACTGTCAAACTGGATGGGGGTTACGCCGAAATTTTGCTTTTTGAATCTAATGATAAATTAGCCGGGTTGTAAGTTTAGCTATCATTACGTTATAAGTCCCCTATCACACACTTAACGGCCAATTTAACCCTTATCTGAGTGTATCATTAGAATGAAATAGAACATCAAACTATCAGGAACATTTTATGTTTTATACAAGTTGCATATGATTCGGTCAATAGCTTTCATATATGTGTTTGTTTGTTAAATTATTACAACGATCTGTAATTAGTTGTGTTCATATTTCGGCGGACCATCTATAGATACTACCTTCCCGGCTATCCGGCTTAATTTATTCGTGATGCGATTTACCTGTTGAATGAACGATAAGTGTCAAATGACCATTGGATTCAATTTCCGATATCAATTTTCAGGAGATATTTTTTTTGTAAATAGCAAAATAAGGACATTTTCCTCCATTTTTGTCAAAGCATTTAAGAGAAATAAATGATATTGAATTGATGTAAGTTCAATACTGAATTCATTGAAAGAGTTTAATAAATTATAATTTGCAAGCCTTTGACGAGCTAAATAAATACAGTAATGAACGTGTCCGAATATAATATTCTATTTATCAAAAACCCAAAATATATACTGCTTAAGTGAAAAAGAAATATGTTTTTCATTGACGCGCCTATACAATCTCCTACACAGTGATCTCCCCTTATCAGTGCAGAGAATATCACTGCGAGGATTTTGGCGCCTATAACGTAACGTGACTTTAATATTTAGCACGTCTTTATAAAGCAAATCACGTCGGGTAAAAACATATGTACGGCCGCGCAGTACCATTTTTACGGAGTCGCAAAAGCGCCACTGGTATTTGATAATAAAAGACTCTTACAAAACAGGTCAACATGAAAAGGAATAAATATTCGTCTTCAATCGACCACGTTTATATAACTTAAACAGTACGCCACACTAGGCTTTTAATAATAATAATTATAAGAATAATAATAATAATGATGATGATGATGATGATGATGATGATTATGATGATGATGATGATGATGATGATGATGATGATGACATTAGTAATGATGACAATGATGATGATTATGATATTGATAATGATGAATGATGATGATAATAATAATAATAATAATATATATAAGTAAAATATGATTGATAAAAATAATAATAATAATTATAATACTATTATTATTATTATTATTTCATTATTATATTATTATTAATAATTATTATTATTAATTATATAAAATAATACTAATAATAATAATAATAATATGATAATAATAATAACAATAATAATAATAATAATAAAAACAATAAAAATAATAATAATGAAAAAAAAATGATTATAATGATAAAGATCAAATCTAAAAATCAACGGGAATATTCCAGTATTGTTGTTGAAGTCGTTTTCAATTTTAGTGCATATCTTTGCGCACTTAATTCATGCTGAGTTACAAATATCTTCAATCTTTATTTTAATCTGTACACTTATAATATCATTTGATAATTTGCAAGAGTTTGGTTTAAAAATTATTATGAAAGCGGTGAGAAAAATAACCAGAACCTATGGGCATAGAGGCAGGTATTTGGAAGTCCATATCTTACGTTTTCGCCCAATACAGATATTCATAGTTTTTTTCTTGTTGTTACTTTCAAAGAATTTGCACGGCCGTTTTGTAAATAGCATAACCCCTAGAAATGAGCACGTTTATCCTTCGTGTTTACGATGTTTATTTTGTCTCTGGGTCATTACAGAATACAAATCACAGGAACGCCATCTGCGCTGTATAAACATTCAATGATTGTTAATGCTATTAAACTTGTTATATCCCAAAAAATTTCCAGATCTTACTTCTTGCATGTCCTTTAAGATATTTTGCATTTATATTGTGAAAGTTTTTCAATTGTACAATTCGTTAACAATTATGTTGCAATTTTTTATAACTAAAATAACGTCAAAAAGCCCCGGGATTTTCTTTTGGGTCTGATACCAACCCCGGTTTAAAAATGCCTATGCCTTATCGTAAATTTGACTCAAGTTTGTACTGATTAGAACTGGAATTAGACAAAGGATATCTGTTTTAGACTTTTAAAGGCTCAATGTCTGACCCTTCATAGACAGACTGTAAAAATGTACGGGTAATACATGTATATATCAGATAAAAAACACTTAGATCTATAAGATATAAGACATCAGTGTATCAGAAAGAAATAAGACATAAGTTTATCAGAAAGAAACGTTATGTTATACTTTCCTTTGAAAATTCTGACAATGAAACAAATACATGTATATGTAAAAACTGATGAAATTCAAGAGTCAATTGTAAATAAAATCCTAGTTTCGGGACAGTGCGGGTTGGGGAGACGGGAATTAGTCAAAACCATACCTTGTGTCCGAAGAGGATACTTTCTTACAGTACTCACTATTCGCAGGGATTAGGAAAAATAACTCTCCTCAAATTAAAAAACAAAACAACATAAAACAACAACAAAAACAATAGAATAAAAATTGTTGACGTCATTATAGTGCTGTATGTTATAATTAGCAACTGCCCTCCCAACGCAATAATGGAAAAAAAGAAACAGAAAATAAAGAAAAAAAAAAAAGCAATGAATGACGAATAAAGTATTAAAATAAGATATTAAAATATATATAAATGTACTTATATAAATACTGCACCGACAGTTGTAATATCGTTTTTTCATTGGATAATTATGACGTTTATATAATCTATTATAAAACGTCTGCAGTCGACTTATAATAATAAAGTGTTTTTTTTCTTGCAATAAAAAAATTTTTGCAGTATTAATAAATGCAGTTTTAAAAGATTCATAACAGCTTAATAAAACGGTTATTTGCAATATAAACGTCGCATAACGACGGCCTCGGGTTATATGTTAAAAATAACAACAACAAAACATTTAATCTTTTTTTAAAATAAAAGATTAGTTGTGCTCTACTTACACATAACTGTCTGTTATTAGCCCGCTGTTAGAATCAAAAAAACCAAACATATACAATTAAGTTATTATTTTTTTTGAAATTTAGCTTTTTTACAAAAAATTTAAACACCCGGTTTTAATTTTTTTTATTTGGGAAAAGATTTCTAAATTTTTAATTTTGTGTTTTATTTTTTGGTTTTAAAGTTAGGTTTAAAAGTTAAATTAAAAAATCATTTTTTTTTGATAAAAAACCCTGATGTTAAGAAAAAGAACATTTTTTATGTTTAACATTGTTGACAAATTTCCCCTTTTTGTCAATGTTATCTAAACTTCCGGGAAATTTAAAAATTAAAACCCAAATTCCCCGGGTTTTAATTTTACCCCAAAAAAGTCTTATTCCAAAAATTTATTAAAAACCAATTTGAGGGGGGAAAAGAATGGTTTCCCAAAATTGGTAAAATTTTATGAAAATTTAAAAATAATTTTAAGGGC